TCCATGAAGAAAGTTTAATTGATTCAGTGATTATGTGCAAACAGCAACAGAACAATGGGAGCCAGCATGGCCACAGCTGTAAAGGGAGAACCTCGAGCGAGGTTCGCACTTTCTGAAGGAGGGTGAACTCACTGGACCACAACCCAGGAAACACCTGACCAGTACCGTGACAGCAGCATGCATTGATCCTTCTCTGATTGTATAAAGAAAACCCATAAAGGACCTGACAAATATGTGCTAAGAGACTGCACTTCACTGATTTAATATATTCTGTTTTTTTGTGCTTGTGAGCCAGATGAAGTTTATAGAAAAGTTCTGCCATTTTGAAGTGGGGTTCTGTCTAAAAGTTATGAACAGGTAAAATTTTATATCTGCCAGATCTGCCCTCCAACATTAGACAGGCCACTTCCTGTTTTTAACTCTCTTCTAAAAACGCATCTGTTTTCACTGACTTTGAACACAGTGTGATTTGATTAGGTATTTTATTGTTTTGTGGTTCGTGTTTTTCTTTTGATGCATTTCATTAAATTTCGTTATTATTTTTTTCTTTAAATTACTGTCATTGATTTTTATTGATAAGCACTTTGGTAACAACTGCTGTTTCTAAATGTGCTCTATAAATAAACTTGACTTGACTTTGCCTAACGTGGAGCTAGTCAGCTAACATCTAGTCAGAGTGCAGCAAGGACACAAGTTTTGTTATTAAAAAAAACCTCCCGTCTTAAAAAGGAGCATTTATTCTTATTTTATTTGTAGTTTATTCAAATGGTATTATTTTAACTTTTACACCATTAACAACTTTACATTACACAGCTAACTACCTCAGACTGCACTGGAACAGGTACACCTAGCTGCTCTTGCAGCTTTTTGCAAACAACTATTGTTATACTGTATGTAAATAACACTAATTTAAAACTCATAATTATGTAAAGGCCTTCAAAATAGCATGTTCATGAACTGCAATGAAAATTTAGACTGCAGTTGTTTTATTACCTATTAAGCCTTAACAGCATTAGACTAGCTGTCTAGCTAACAGCTAATTTGTTCGGGACCAAAACCAAAATGAATCGCTGCTGTCTCAAAACAGCTCCAAGCTCTAATGATTTATAGAAACACTTCTTTATAAACTCCTACACTGCTGTTACTTTTACATTACACTGTTATTTTGTGCACGGTGGCACAACTGGTGGAGCTGCTGCCACTCAGTGAGCAGGTCCCTGGTTCTAATCCTGGTCCGGGTGGAGTTTGCATGTTCTCTCTGTGCATGTGTGGGTTTTCTCTCTCAGACCAAAAACATGCATGTTAGGCTGATAGGTAACTCTAAATTGTCCCTAGGTGTGTGTGTGTGTGTGTGTGTGTGTGTGTGTGTGTGTGTGTGTGAATGTTTGTCTTATTTGTCTCTATGTGTCCTTGTGATGGACTGGAGACCTGTCCAGGGTGTCCCCTGCCTCTCACACAGTGATTGCTGAATATGGGCACCAGTGACCCCGGCGACCCGAAAAGGAAGAAGCGGGTAAAGATGATGGATGGATGGATATTATTTTATGGAATATGTGATTATTTACCATTGTATATAGCAGCACTAGCTAGCTGTACTTAGCATCCAAGGGTTGAAGCCAGTAGAAATGTCTTAGATGTTCTGCCAAAATAACTGGAAATGTAAAATTGCCGGTGGTGTAAAGGTTAAAACAATAGCCTTAACTTCTATGAAAGTTTAAAGATTAGATTTGCTGTAAAACACTACAGTTCACTTCAGGAACAGGTTCATTTTGACCAACTACTTTTAGCTTATTGGTATGGAGTAAATCAGCATTCCTTGACCTTTTTTTTTTTTTTGCATCAAAGGATGTTTTTATTGGGGTTTTGTTTTCCAAACAACTTTCCTATAAACTATTAAGGAAAAATAAGTTTTCCAGCATAGTTTATTGTTTTGCTTCTTGTTTTTGCCCCAGGGTTGGTTAATAGGGTTGTTAGCACATGAAAATAATGTAGTCAAGTACAGGAAACGTGTACATATGGAAGTGATCATTTAAAAAAGAGGAAACTTTGCAAACCAATGTATATTACAATATTATATAGATTTATAAAGAAGCAGCATGGTGGCACAACTGGTAGAGCTGCTGCCCCTCAGCGAGAAGGTTGCTGGGTCAAATCCCGGCCTGGGGTGGAGTTTGCGTGTTCTCTCCGTGCATGCGTGGGTTTTCTCCAGGTACTCCAGTTTCTTCCCACAGACCAGAAACATGCCTGTTAGGCTGATAGGTAACTCTACATTGTCTGTAGGTGTGAGTGAGAGAGTGAATGCTTGTTTGTCTCGTTTGTCTCTATGTGTCCCTGTGATGGACTGGAGACCTGTCCAGGGTGTACCCCGCCCCTCGCACAGTGATTGCTGGACAAGGGCACTGGCGACCCCTCTGACCCAAAATGGAAGAAGCGGGTAAAAGATAATGGATGGATGGATGGATTTATAAAGAAAAGTTTTTTTTATGTTGAGTGTGGTTGTTGAGGTCTCCTGATAGACTTAGTCTTCAATTTTTACTGTGGTTCAAGCAAATAACATTTTATGAACCTTTACACAGCAGATAAGTTTGCATTGCACAACTATTTTTGTTAAAAGTATTGTAAAATTATTCCCAGTTGCAACCCCTGGATGCCCTAAAAGTGCTTTTCCACAAAACCTCAATTCAGTTCAAAAAGTTTTTTCAATTCAGTTTATTTATGTAGCTTCAAATCACAACAGAAGTTGACTCAGGGCACTGAAACATTCACATACATACAAATGCCAATTACCAGTGGTAAAATATATCTTTCTAAGAAAGGAAGCCTGAAGATGTGGTGAATCTTCACTTCGTCACTGTCTCCCATCCTGAGCAAGCACAAAGGCAATGGTGGAAAGGAAAAACTCCCTTTTAACAAGAAGAAACCTCCAGCTGAACCAGGCTCAGGACGAGCGGCCATCTGCTTCGACTGGTTGGGCTTGAGAGGAACGGGAAGGAGGAACAAACAAACACAGAATGACTGGTCCAGGTGCATGTGAAGGTGTACCTCCTATTGGAAGAAAGACAAAAAAAAAGCACATTAAGGAAATAAATAACTACAAATACAAAACAGGTAGAGTAAGTAAAGACAGCAGCAGAGTGAAGGAATGTGGTCAGTTTGTCCTCCAGCAGTCTAAGCCTATAGCAGCATAACTAAGGGGTGGCTTAGGAAACCCAACCCCTAACTACAGGATTTATCAAAAAAGGAAAAACTTGTCATCTTAAAAGTAGACAATGTTTTTTTTTTTCATTCAACCCTTATTTATACAGGTTAATCCCATGGAGCATTGGGGACTCATTTACAAGAGAGACCTGATTTTAATAAAGAGTGATGACAACAATGGACAACAAAACCAATAATAGACAATCATATGCATATGCGGGGGAGTGGTGGCGCAGAGGTTAGAGAAGGTGGGCCTGTGATCAGAAGATCGCCAGTTAAAGCACCGGTACCGACAACATCAAAAATGTGGGTGGAGTAGGTGAAGCACCCACACCTGCCCCCACCCTCATTTGTCCCACTCTGGGCCCTTGAGCAAGGCCCTTAACCCCACCATCTGCTCCTTGGGGTGTCCTAGATAGCATCTCTCTGCTCCACACAAAGGGCTGTGGTAGCTCAGTGTCTGTGGTTGTGTCAGGGAGGACATCCGGCATAAAAAAAATAACTGCCGGGTCTTCGTGCGACTTAGTTCGCTGTGGCGACACCTAAAATAGGGAGCAGCCGAAAGAAGAAGAAAAAAAAAATAAAGGATGCATACAAATTGAGTTTTTTTTTTTTTAACAAATGAAAATAAAATGGTATTTAAAAAGAAAAGCAACAAAAAAACAGCTAGATTATAAGGTGGTGTAGAAAACAAAACCAGGAACATGTCTGCATTGTTTTTTTTCCATGAACTTAGCAGATGTGAAGCCACTTAGAGAGGTCAAGGTCGAGAGCTTCACATCTTTTTGCAAGATATTCCAGGAAACAGGAGCGGAGTAGGAGAACTCTTTTGTCTAGTTCAGTCCTCACTGAGGGGACACTGCATGTAATAATGTCCTGAGAGTGCACACTGTAGCTGCACTCATGCAGAGACATGTAGGAGGAGATGTATGAAGGCAACAGACCAAGAAGTGATTTAAAGATGAAAATGTACCAGTGAGAGAGTCTGTGTGACATTAATGATGTCCAGTTAACCAGTAAATACAGGGTGCAGTGGTGGGTACGGTAGTTACAGCCAGTTATGAATCTTAGTGCACCATGATAGACAGCATCCAACATCTGCAGGGTTCTTGTAGCATTCATGTAAATAATGTCAACGTAATCAGTGGAGGAGAGGAAGTCACAGTTACAAGGTGTTTCCTAGCATTCAGAGTTAGACAAGATCTGTTTCTGAAAAAGAAACACAGTTTAACTTTCTTTTTCCTTGCTAGGTTTTCCACGTGGAACTTAAGAGAGATGCAAATCGACCAAGATACCCAAATATTTGTAGGAATCTACAAACTCAATAGGGAAACCATTAAGCCTGACGGACAGAAACTGGAAGTTGGTTCCACGAGAGGAGCCTGAAAACTGAAAGCTCTGCCTCCCATTCTGCTTTTGGAACTTCTATGAACCACAAGTAAACCTGCAGTTTGAATGCAAAATGGCTGTGCTATTTATTTAATAGAATCTTTCACTTTGTAGGCATCTAGGAAGATGCCTTTGTTCTTGGTTCCACGGATGAATATGGAAAGATTTGTGAGTTCCAGGCACACAAACGCAGAGACACTGAAGCTTAATTAGGCAGCATCACAGAAACGCTGTGATTGTCAGTGCTTTGAGAAAGCCAAGCGCTCGTGGGCGTAGGTTATGATGAGGAGCATGTCTTACCTTCTTTCTTTGTCTTAGACAGGGAACTTGTGTGTGGTCTTTAATATTGTGCAACAATTCCCCTGCTCACACCATGCAACTTAAGTTCCTCCCTCCTACTTTTTTATTTGCAGAAACCCTCATGGACAGCCGGTGGGCCACCACAGAGCTGGCTTGGACCACATTTCCAGAGAGCGGGGTGAGTTAATGTGCCTGTGCGTTCAGTTTGCTTTGGGTTATTTTTGTTTCTCCAGCAGCATTTGTTCCATTTGCTTGTTAATAGAGCCCAATCCTCCTTGAACAGCACACCTCCTGCTGTTTTATATCTTTGTGTTTGCAGTGAATGTTTACATTCTTGGAGACAATAAAGTAGAAACACACAATGTGACATTGTGCAGACCAAATCTAAAGTTTCAGTGTGCGGCCCATATAAAGCTTTTAAAAAATGCATAAATGATGTGCTTTAAACTAAATACAAGCAAGTTTCAAGACTTAAGGCGACAGTGGTTTACCTATTAGCCCCCACAATGCATGACGACTCATGGGTAGGTAGACTTTACTCTCTCTCTCTCTCTCTCCAGGATAAAGTGCCTGGCAGCTGAAAGCATGTGTCTTTTATAATATGGACCCAAGAGCACATTACAGGCAGAAATTAAGGTTTTCAGTTGATACCCCCTGTAGGAATTGTGAGAAAATAAAACAACATGAATTTGACCCCAGGGCTAACAGGCTGACAGACCTCCCCCACACCGGCCAGTGTAATTTGTCTTCGCTACGTGAGCGCAAAGTCAGTCAATGGAAATGGTACGTTGCCATGGAAACCATCTCCAGCAGCTCCCTGTTTTTTTTCCCTTCTCCCTACAACGGCCGGCTTTGCATGTCCTGGCATCCACAGAGTCATATGTCACGACTGGCGAGGCAGCACCTCTTCTCCTCGTGCCTGGCAGGCCTGTACCTTCAGGAGGCCCGGCAATTATCATATTTGTCAGGTAGTGCATCAATGGGTTGCTGGTGATTTACGACACCTAATGCTGACTCTTGGGCTCATCGTTTGGGGATAAATTGCCCGGTAGCTCGACAGACGTGAGATGAGTTATGCATTATTTTCCCTCCAGTTGAAATAATCAATTTCTGGGACGGCCATTTGTTTTGAAAACGAAGCATTCGGTTCAAATGAGAATTAGGTGGGGGAAAAAATAAAAGGTTGACTTTTCACAAGGTTATTTCCTAATGGACTGGATTTATTGACCAATCATACCATTTATTATGCCTTGTAATGTTAGTTACCAGAAACAAACATCACTGTTAACTGTATATAAACCCATATGTTGTATTTGTTGTTTAATAAATGGACTGACGATGACAGAAGTTACTTCTATTTCTATGTTGGTTCTTAAATCTCTGTTTCAGAGTTACAGTGAAGTTCTGTCTTGCATGTTTATAAATTAATGTACCATATATTTTACCGTAAAAGTCGCAGTTTTTTTGCATAATTTGCATGTCCTGCAATTTATACACTGAAGCAAAGTATTTATGGATTTCCCCCATATTTATAAACCAATTTTTGGCGGAGATATGACCATTTTCATTCATTTTGACTGAAATATTGAACACTACCATTTTAAGCCACTAGATGGCAGCAGAGTAGTATAGCATGCCGATTGTGTCATGTAATAGGTAAAAGTGGCTATTAATGACACAATCGGCTTGCCATAGCATGCCACGTTCGATCAGCTCGCCTGGAGCAACCGTTAAATCAGCTTCATGTTGCTGGGGCGGTGTAGCAAAATTAAGCTGATTTGACCATTAAAGTGCATTTATTACAGAAAAATTCAACTGAGACGAACCTTTACTATAAAGTCGAGCAAACAAATAATTGTTTTAGGTGGTTATCTTGTGAAATTTTGAAGAACTGAGCAACATTCCTCCTTCCTTTTTTCCTCCCTGTCTGTGCACTCCCGGAGCACCGAGGCAGCAAATACTTTTGAAATGCAGCTAATTTGACCATTAAAGTCCTTTTATTAAGATAAAGTTCAACTGAGACACACCTTCACTATAAAATCGAGCAAACAAATAATTGTTTTTAGGTGCTTATCTTGTTAAATTTCAAAGAAATGAGCAGCGACTTGTCCCTCTGTGCATTCCTACTTACGCTTATCGGCTTTTGAAATGCAGCTGATTTGACCATCAATGCATTTATTAAGCAAAAGTTAGACTGAGACACACCTTTACTATAATTTCGAGCAAACAAATTATTGTTTTTAAGTGTTAATCTTGTTAAATTCTTGTTAAAGTCCTCCCATGCACGCTCCTGCAGCCGCCATTTGGCAGCTAATCGATTTTTGGCACAACACCAGCCCACATTTCCGGGTTGTCAGTGGTGACGCGTAACAAACGCGACGTGTCAGCGGTGATGCATCATAGATGTGACTAATACGGTAAAGCAATGTATTTATGGATTTTTCCACTTTATTAGACATATTTGGACTGATGCGACTTATAGGGCGGTGCGATGTTTACAGCGGAAAATACGGTATATAAAAAATGTGCACTCTTGCTTGATATGGAGGCACAAGATAATAAATACTACAGTTTAATAACTTGAAGTACTCATGACACAAGCACACTGAGTTCATTTAGAAAGCCATGCATTATAACTATATTGTAACGGTTTTGATTTTAATTTTTTTATTCATGGATAGTCAGTTTAGTTATGAACTGATGCAAAAATACTTATTGTATAAACAACTACATTATAAATACAGTAGTCCCTCGTTTATTGGGAGTGTTACATTCCAGGACATCCCCCCCCGGGCAATAAGTGAAAATACACAAAGTAGCAACATTATATATATTTGTTTAGTATTTATATATATTTTAAGGTTTTATAAACCTTAAAGAAAACTACAAAATGGCGGCGCCTGTCCGAATGTTGTTGTTTTTTTTACTTTTTCCCAACCACGTGAGTACAATAATATTACTGTAAAGTTGACAGTTGTGTGTCGTATACTGTACTGCACTGTATGATTTTTGTTGTTGGCAAACCACGATAGAGTGAGTCCACGAAAGTCTAACCACGAAGTAGCAAGGGACTACTGTAACTTATAATAATCAATACATTGTAAAATAACGTTTTGCAGCTATTCATTGTTACATGTAACCAGGTTGGATGGCTGCTGTTTGTGTAATTCTTAGTTGGATAGAGGTCTGGGTTTTGACTAGACCATTCCAGGACCTCTTAACTGTTTCACCTTAAATCAGTCTCAAATCTCTGGAAACGTCACACTGGTTTCCCTCAAATATTATTCAAATGTTTTGTTCCATTCCATTTCCAGCCACTACCATGCTTTAAGGTGTGGATGGTGTTGTCAGCATGATGAGAAGGGTTAGGTTTGTGCTTGACAAGATGTTGTCTTTTATGGTCAAAGAGTTCAGTTTTTGACCACAGCAACTTAACATGTTTATTAAAGGTCTGCCCTTTTCCCCCCTTTTTCTTAGACAACAGCTGTTTTGTTTGTTTTTTTCTTCCATGAAGCCCAGCTCTGTGCAGGTTATAGCAGACTTTTTTTTTATTCAACCTTTATTTATTCAGGTTAATCCCATTGAGCCTTGGGGACTCATTTACAAGAGAGTTCAGTTTTTTTAACCAAAGAGTGATGACAACAGCGGACAACAAAGACAAAAAAAGACTATCATAAAGGATGTGTACAAATGGAGAATAACAAGTGAAAATAAAATGGTATTTAAAAGAAGATGTAACAAAACAAACAAACAAACAAAACAAAAAAAAAAACAGCTAGATTGTAAGACGATGTAGAAAACTAAAAACAGGAATATGTCTGCATTGTTGTTTTCCCATGAACTTAGCAGATGTTTGAAGCCACTTTGAGAGGTCAAGGTCGAGAGCTGTACTTCTTCTATACAACCTTGTCTCTGACCGATGTGAGGAGTTCCTTGGTCTTCATGCTGTTGCTCACTTGGTGTGATTTAGAGGCATTGCACTGGCATTGATACAGTTTTTCTCACTCACTTAACTTGATTCATTTGAAGTATTTAGTGTAAATTTTTTACTTGTTAACACTTTAAAAATCCATTTTAATTCCAGGTTTTAAGGGAATAAAACAAAAAGAATACTTACATACTCCATGAGCCCAACTTAATATATATTTTATACTTAATATAAAAGAATAAGGAGTGTGAATACTTTCGTAACCCACTGTATTGATAGTTATTCCTCTGTTTAATCTCTTGAGGATAGACTTTTTTTAAACATTCAAATCCACACATTCAGTGTAATCACAGCTGAAAACTCACCCCCTCAATTATTGATTTTATTTTATTTTATTTATTTATTTTAGGACCTCTGGCACGTGATTGGCATCAGAACTAGTCAAACCATAAGAATGTTTGAAATTTGTTTTAATAGAAAAAATGTGATCTATTAATAGTCCATAATGATTGGAATTGTCTGAATGATTCATGCAATTAGAAGTGTTTTAGCTGCAAATTATTCCTCACAGGCCTCGTGCACACAGCACACTGCAGGAATGTGTGTCAGTATATGTATGTGTTGTTTTGTGTAATCTGTTCGTAGCAGGCGCCACAGGACTGTTTTGAACATCTTCCATGCTTGAACAGTTTGCATTAGGAAGCATTAGATAATGTCAACAAACAATATATTAGATGCAGGAATTTTAGCAGCGACTCGGAAATGAGCCGCTTCTCTATTCTTGTCTGTGTTGTCCGCGCTGATTGCTATCATTTCGTTTTTCACCTCCTCCTCTGTGTTTCTGTTGTTTTCACAGTGGGAGGAAGTTAGTGGCTACGATGACTCCATGAGCCCAATCAGAACCTATCAAGTGTGTAACGTCAAACAGCCTAACCAGAACAACTGGCTGAGGACAGACTTCGTCCCCCGCAGGGGTGTTCTGCGCGTCTACGTCGAGCTCAAATTCTCCGTCCGCGACTGCGCAAGCATCCCCAACATCCCGGGCTCCTGCAAAGAGACCTTCAATCTGTTTTACTACGAGTCAGAGGGGGACATGGCTACAGACACCAGCCCTCTATGGAGGGAGAACCCTTATGTGAAGGTGGATACTATTGCTCCTGACGAGAGTTTTTCTCTGCTAGAGGCGGGTAGGATCAACACCAAAGTGCGCAGCTTCGGCCCCCTCTCCAAGGCAGGTTTCTACCTGGCCTTCCAGGACCTGGGAGCCTGCATGTCCCTCATCTCTGTCAGGGTTTTCTTCAAGAAGTGCTCCACAACCATTGCCAATTTTGCTGTTTTCCCCGAGACCGCCACGGGTGCGGAAGCCACTTCTTTGGTGATCGCTCCGGGGGCCTGTGTGGCCAATGCTATGGAATTGTCCGTCCCCCTGAAGTTGTACTGCAATGGGGATGGCGAATGGATGGTTCCTGTGGGCTCATGCACATGCGTCGCTGGCTTTGAACCCTCTGCGGATAGCACACAGTGCCAGGGTATGTGCGTTTAACAGATTTTTCAACTTTTGTCCGACCAAAAATCCTTTATGTACTCAGTGCAGGTCACCTCAGCCTGTGCCCTCTTCTCTGCATTTATTGTTAGGCTCCTGAAGGGGGGAGGGGAGGGGAGAGGGTGAAGGAGAGCATGAATTAATGAGGTGTTGCAGAGAGGAGCTGCATACAAATATTGTGCAAGCAAGACAGGAGGGAGAGAAAGATAGTGGGATGGCACAAAACAGAGAGCCAATAGATTTTCACTAGGCAAATGCGGATAATAGAATGGAAAGATGAAGCTCAAAGAAGAGAAAGAAAGGGAGAGTAAGAAAGGGAGAGAAAGAGCGGGTGTGAATTGCCAAAGCACTGACAGAAACAGCTGCTAACAGGAGAAGAATGAAAATGGAAGGAGGCTGCAGGACGTCGACGACAGACAAGCAAACCTTCTCGCACCTATAGGTGTGAGAAATAGTGTCGAACATCCACTGGAGATCTCATTTGTTGCCATTTGGCTGCTCAAGGTTAAAAGCTTGCCGCCAAAGCCTGATAAAAAAGCTCTCCAGGGCCTCTGCCAGCGCTTGTGATGAGGAAGTGTAATTTCCTCAACGGCCTCCCGTTAGTTAATCTACAGGCGGCCACACTCATTAACACCATTCAGACCATCGTGAGCCAACACTGCCACAGTGACATTAATCACTCAGACATTTCATTTCTTACCTCGGTCTGGCTGCTCGCAGCCAAGCGCCGCATGAGATGGAGAGAGAAGTCAAGGAAGATGAGGAGAAGAAAGACAATGGAGGGAGATATAGAGTAACAGAAACAGGAGAATCACTGTGCCCTCTAAAAGAGTGTAATGGATTAAAACAAGACAGAGTGCCACTGTGTTTCAGGGAGAGAAAAAAAACGTTCAGATGATAAAATGTAGTCTTAATGGGATGTGGGAGTTATAAAAGAAAAAAATAAAAATGTGGGTTTTTTTTGTGGACATGCACAAGGACAGCGAGACAGTGGTGAAATGTGCTGTAGAAGTGACAGATGGGTTCAAGGTGTTGGTGGGAGTGAATCAGAGATGAGCATTAAGTTCCTCCTTGTTTGCAGTGGTAATGGACAGGCTGACAGATGTGTTCATGCAGAAGTCGCCATGAATTACTATGTTTGCAGATAACACTGTAAGCTGTAGTGAGCAGAGAAAGCAGGTGGAAGAGAGTCTGGAGAGGTGAAGGAGTGCAGTAGATAATAAAAGAATGAAACTTTGTAGCAGTAGGATAGAATCTATGTTTATGAATAAGAGGGAGACAAAGTGTAGAAGTAGGGCCACTCCATTATGAAATAATAATAATTTAAATTATTTTGATCAACACTATAATAACAGTTATTGGATATAATTATTCACTGGGTTTGGGTTTGTTTATTGTACCTAAAAAGCAGTGAATTGCTTTGAAAATTATTAAAAAAATAATAATTTTTCATTCCCAAAATTTATCTTAAATTTTTTTTAGTTCCATGTCATAAAATTTAACATGTATCTAAAATTTTATTAATATAGACAAACTTCAACAAAATTATCTAGCAAAACAAAGTGGTTTAGTTCAACATAACATTTAATAATTTAGATGGGGGGGGAGTGGTGGTGCAGAAGTTAAAGAAGGTGGGCCTGTGATCGGAAAGGTCGCCGGTTCAACTCCTCAGGCCGACAATATCAAAATGTCAGTGGGAAAGGTGAAACATCCACATCTGCCTCCATTCGCATTTGCCCTACTCTGGGCCCCTGAGTAAGCCCCTTAACCCCCACCATCTACTCTCCTGGACACCCCAGATGGCAGCTCCCTGCTCCACACAGAGGGCTGTGATAGCTCGGTGGTTGTGTCAGGAAGGGCATCTGGTGTAAAAACAATTGCTAATTCCTTATGCGAGTTAGTTTGCTATGGCGACCCCTGAGGAAGAAAGCAGCCAAAAGAAGAAGAAAATAAAAAGGGTGCCTAAAAATCTGCCTGTAAATAATTTTTTAATAACAAGTTAAGAAACAAGGAAAGACCAAAATGGACAAGACTAGACATGAGTTTATTGGAGGGACAACTCAGACTAAGCAGTTTGGAGACAAAGTTAAGAGAACTGGAGATAGTTTGGATCATATCCGTGTATATCTTAACATCCAACTGGAACGGGACCAACCTTCCCTGTTGGCTGGGTTGTACAAGTTTGAAGTCCCTCCACATAAACAAACAAGACATTTCCCATGGCAAAAATAAAAATATGCCTCTAATTATTTTTTTCTGGTAGTGATTCCTGTTGATTCACAAAGTTCTTTCCTTACGTTTGTTCTAATATTAATTTTAATGTTACATTTAGCTCTAATTAGTTATTTCATGCTTAAAAAGAAGTGATACAGTGATTGCTTGTGGGGGAGTGGTGGAACTTAAAGCTACACATCCCTTTTGTGCAGACTCTGGTTTCAAAAATATAACAAGCAGCGTGCCCATGTCCCACATCACTGAGAGATTTCAATAATGAATATTTGTAGTTTTTAAGATAAATGTTGTTATGGACTGGAATTATACAGGTACAGTAGTCCCTCGTTTATTGCGGGGATTCAGTTCCAAACCCGCCCACAGTACGTGGCATTCTGCGAAGTAGCGACGTTATATTTCTTTCAGTTCTTATATATACAAAGTATATAAAGGCTTTAAAAACCCTTCCTACACTCTTGCAATGTTCTAAACTCTTAAACCTTCGTTATTTTAACAACATACGTACAGTACTGTATGTAGCTACTAAATTTTACTTACTGGGCTCTGCAGAACAGGAGTGGCTCGATTAGTTTCCAGTCTGCCTCTGTTCCATTTCTGCAGACGTACCATGCAGCAATGAAACCCACAATGAATGTTCTAAACTCTTAAACCTACTAATTTTAACAACATGCTAATTTGTAGCTACTAAATGTTACTTCCCAGCTTGTTCCCGCTCCGAGGTCCTCGTCAGCCAATTGAAAGACATGAAAAAGTGCAATTTGGCTTCTGATGGATCATTAGACCATCGACCGCGTGCATCCGCTGACAGCTCATCATTGGCCAGTTGAAATCATGAAAAATGTACCGTTGGGCTTTAGATGGATCACTGGACCTATGGCCGCGCACATCCACTCGGAGGTCCACGTGGGCGGGCTACCAGCTCTCAAGATTCACCAATGGGTCTGGAAGTCTGGTTCTGCTCCGGTTCTACTCCGGTTCGTTAGGTTCAGTGCGGCTTCTTTGCATCCACTGGGCATCGATCAGATCAAACTTTACCTCTGTTTTTTTTTTTCAGCAGAAGGAAATGGGGCTTCTGGCTGGGGCCCTGTTGCCTTCTGGGAAATGTGGTCATTATGAGCAGTAATATAGTGGAGACTTACTGAGAGAAAACTACAAAATAGTGGCACCTGTCCTAAGTATTTTTTTTTTGTTAACTTTTTACTGTGAAGTACTGTATCCAGTACTGTCCCAATCACATGAGTAATATTAAAGTTGACAGTAATGTGTCCTGTACAATTATTTTTATTTTTGTACAATATTATGGACTATGCATCCGCAAACCGCCATAGAGCGAATCTGCAAAAGTTGAACCGCAAAGTAGAGATGGACTACTGTAATACGAGTAAAGCTTAAAGGTGTTTTTGGTGCAAGATATTCAAATGGGTAGGAGTTGGGATTGGTGGCACAGAGGTTAGAGAATCCGAGCCTGTGATCAGAAGGTCGCCGGTTCGACACCCCAGACCAACAACATCAAAATGTGGGTTGGAAAGGTAAAGCACCCACACCTGCCTCCACCCTCATTTGTCTCACTCTGGGCCCTTGAACAAGGTCCTTACCCCACCACCATCTGCTCCCCCGGGTACCCTAGATGGCAGCTCTCTGCTCCACACAGAGGGATTAGCTCGGTGGTCTGTGGTTGTGTCAGGAAGGGCATCTGGTGTAAAAACAATTGCCAAGTATTATTGCAAGTTTGCTGTGGTGACCCCTGAGGAAGGGAGCAGCCGAAAGAAGAAGAAAAAATTCAAGTAGGAAGGAGTTACACTGTGTATAAAAATATACATTGGCTTTTGTTTTTGCTTGTTTGAGATGGCGCAGTGACGTGTCCCAGCAGGTGGATGGAGCAATTTTATCTGCTATTAGGTACAATGGGCACCCAGGGGATGACCAATGGTGGCCTTGGTCACTGTACGTAGATTAATATTTGACCACCTCAAGGGCAGGGCTAGAGTGAACTAGAGATGTTTGAGTAAACTACATTTAGGCAATGTGAAAACTAGAAAGCATAGTTTCCTCAAATTATAGGGGTCGTCAGTTTACACACATATATATATATATATATATATATACACATATGCTGATGGCCATCTTGGATTTTGACGTAGCAGCCCAACTTTTGAGGGGAACAGTGGCACAGATGGTATAACTGCTGCATCTCAGCAACAACGTTGCAAGATCTAATCCTAACTGGGTGCTTTTCTGGGTGGAGTTTTCATGTTTTCTCTGTGCATGCATGGGTTTTCTCCAGGTACTCTTGTTTCCTCCCACATACAAAAAACATGCAGGTTAGACTGACTGGTAACTCTAAATTGTCTCTAGGTGTGAGTGAGAGAGTGAATAGTTGTTTATCTTGTTTGTCTATATGTGTCCCTGTGATGGACTGGAGACCTGTCCAGGGTGTCCCCCGCCCCTCGCCCATTGACTGCTGGATATGGGCACCAGTGACCCCCGTGAGTTATCCAGCTCACAGAACTGCAGCAGATATCTTGGATTTTGACGTGGCAACCCAATTTTTAAAATGAACCTTTCTTAAGCCTAGATACAGCTACACACAATAATGGAAATTTAGTACCTCACTTATTTTTCTAAGTTATCATTCTCACAACATGCACGGATGGATGGACGGACCGACAGGGGGTATTTCCAATTCCTCGTCTTCGCTCCATGATGGGGTACAGTATGGCAGTTCCTATAAACAGGGTCCTGCTGGCCTCAATTCGCAACAAGACAAAATTGGGGACACTTTGTCTATAAATTTGGGAGATACAGTGAGCATATTGGACAAAGGATGCTGAATGTGGCGCTTCCAGAGAGGAGGAAAAGAGGAAGACCACAAAGAAGGATGTATTAAAGGTGCATTGGGAAAGGAGATGGCACAAAACAGACAAAGAAGGATGTTGGTGAGATGGAGGCAGATGATCTGCTATGGCAATTCATAGAGGGGCAGCAGAAAGAAGAAAAATAAGTGTTATATTGCCCCTGCTGAGATATTAGCTGTGCTGGCTTTTTAAAACTATGCCATTGTTTGAATTTTGGGTGGAGCGGGAGCTAAACTGAAAGCCCACTTAGCCTAACTACTTAATCACCCTCTCCCCTCTCCCTCAGGCTGGGGTTTATGAGCCGTCAAGCTGACACGACAGATGTTTGCCAGAGACCCCTCTTTTACACCACCGGTTAGGAATGTGGCAAACAGTAAAACATGGGACTCTGGAGGCCAATATATCCAGACCTTTTGCTTCTAATCCTTTTTATCTGAATCCTTCTTAAGTCTCAGCTAACACTGGTTTATCCTTAAGTCTCGATATCAGCCAACTTTCAACCCGACACTTAGGAATTCAAATTAATCGCTCGGACACGTCGCCGAAGGTTACTTCGTGTATTCTTCTCATAACTCTGCTCAGCTAATTCACGTTTGTTTTGATGTCCCGTTGTTTGGATTGATTTATTAGCTTATTATGGAGCTGTTCTGCATGCGTGTAGAGGCCTTGTTTGTATTCAGTAACGGGTTTGGAGAACTGACGACTGAGTAGACACTGATTGATAGGTTTAGGGTGGATCCTTTTTCTCTGAAGTATTCTCCATCCTTGTTTGTCTGACAACAGCAATCTCCTGTCAGCAGTCGTCTTCATCTTTATCCTCCTTTTTCCCCCTTCTTGAACACAAAACTTTGCTGTCATTGTGGCTTTGCGTTTAGGGAGATTAATGTCACCTCACAGAGAGGATGGAAATGAAAAAGCCGATGCAAATGTATAGATAAGCCCCTTGTGCTTAAGCACTCAATGGTTTGCAAACACACACACAAACACACGCACGCACGTTTGCACGCATGCATGCATGCACCCAAGCATTTTCCCGTGAATATTGAGGTTTTTCAGGTACTTTAGATGATTCTTTTTGTTATAAGACAGATCTGACAGCTGCTGGTCTTTTAGATAAGTGACAGTACAGTGGACTTTTTGTTTTGCATTCCCTTTCTTTTTTTTCCACCCACCACTTATTCTCTTTCTCTCCCTCTCATGTAGCCTGCATCCCTGGGACATTCAAATCCAAATTCGGAGAGGGAACATGTGCTCCCTGCCCGTCCAACAGTCGCACCGGTTCACGAGGAGCCAACGTTTGTCCCTGCCAGAATGGTTTCTACCGCTCTGACAGTGACCCTCCAGAGTCCTCCTGCACCAGTAAGTCATGCTCCACAGCACAGAAAAAAAGGAAGAAGTCCACATTTCTCTGACTGAGCTGCAAAGGTTCAGGGAGCAGGAAGCCAACTAAGAGTGAGGGAGGGTATATATGAGTGTGACTTAACAAAATTCAAACATTCCTCCTGTCGTCATAGCAAACGTTGCAGATTTTGAGTTCTAATCAACATCACTGTAATTTCATGGGAGCAATACTAAAAAAGTGTGGGCGAGCAACACAAATTATGTGCAATATCATCTCAGGTTTATAATGCACATAAGCACCTTGCTGGCTTGCAGTAGAAATAAGCATTATCCTGCTTTAATGCTTATGATTGCCCCTCACTTTTTCCTGTGTGCTTGTGACTCTGTCTGTTAGCAAAATACCACATGAGCCACTGAACAGATTTTAATGAACCACTCAGATTGTCATCATTGAATGTACATTCACAACTGATTCACGGTGGTTATTGCAGCCAACTGACTTGAGCAAATTCAAAAGACTGCAGCTCAGTCAGTTGTAAAAAACTGATTTATCTCTTGGTGTGGTAGTAGCTGAGCATCATGCCCAACGTGTACTTCAATTCAATTCAGTTCAGTTCAGTTTGTTTATATAGTGCCATGTCAAAACAGAAGTCATCTCAGGGTCAGCCTTACAGACAGAAACTGGAAGTTGTTTTCCACAAGGGAGGAGCCTGATAACTGAAAGATCTTCCTCTCATTCTGCTTTTGGAAACTCTAGGAACCATGAGTAAACCTGCAGTCTGAGAGCGAAGTGCTCTGTTAGGAAAATATAAAACAATAAGATCTGTAATATAAAATGGAGCTGGGTTGTTGAGAGCTTTGTAGGTTAGAAGTAAGATTTTGAATTCAGTTCTGGACTTGACAGGGAGCCAATGGAGAGAAGCTAAAACTGGAGAGAGATGATCTCTCCCACTAACTCCAGTTAAGACTCTGGCAGCAACATTTTGGATCAACTGAAGACTTTTAAAAGAAGTATTTGGACACATAGACAACAAACCATTGCAATAGTCCAGCCTAGACATTATAAATGCATTAACTAGTTTTTCTGCATCATTTTTAGATAAGATGTTTCTAATTTTAGCGATATTACGCAGGTAGAAAAATGCTGTTCTGGTAACGTTTTTAATATGGTGTTAAAAGACATATCCTGATCAAAAATAACATCAAGAACATTAGAAATGGAGGCCAAATTAATGCCATCCAGAGTTGGTGAAAGACTGAAAAATTTATTTCTAAGATGCTCAGGTCCAAAAACTAAAACCTCTGTCTTGTCTGTGTTTAAAAGCAGAAAATTTAGGGTCATCCAGGTTTTTATGTTTTAGGACATGCTAGTAGTCTAAGTAGCTGATTGGATTAATTGGGTCTCGTGGACAAATATAACTGTTTATCATCAACATAATGAAAATTTATACCATGCTGTTTAATAACTTTACCTAATGGAAGCATATTTAACGTAAAGACTATTGATCCAAGCACTGAACCCTGAGGAACTTCATGACTAACTTTGGTGTTAGAAGAAAATTAATTATTTACATTTACAAATTGGACTCTATCAGATTCCCATCAGATTCAATCACTAACATATTACAGGAGATATTGCTATATTGTGTCAAATATTAATCTTTCAAAGTTAGACTAAGACAACTCCGTCATTTCTCATCATAAAATGCTCTTAGTCTAAAACTCTGGAATAAAAGACAATGAATGGTATTCATTTATTCAATGAATCATAAGCCTTTAATTTATTTACTTTTAGCATTTTTTTAAGCAAGACAAAAAAAGTATTTAATTTGTGTCTTAGCTTCACTTTGCAGCATGATCTTACTCTGGAGAATCAGTAAGGAATTCCTTCACATTGCAAGAGCAAATGTTTACTGTGACTTATTCCAATATTGCACATTTTTACCTCACTGTTGCATTATTTAGCTGGCTACAATTTGTTTTTCAGCTAAGTCTTATCGGTGTTCCCAAAGGGTCCATGTTCAGGGGACCTGTGCGATTCTAAAATCTGTGGCACATTTACTGGTACCCATTAATGTTTGTTCCTTGATGATTCTCCAAACTCAGATTTGCCTGTTGTCTTCTGCAGATCTTTGACTGCTCATACTTGACATACATCACTTGGAAAAATTAGAAAGGCATTTGTACAAGGACTGAATAAACTTTAGGGCATATATTATTCAGTTAGAAACAAAAAAAGAGTACATGACCCCAAAAAGTCAGCTTGATCAGATGGTGCCCTTCAGCATTGGTTAGTCTTACAAAACCGTCTCCCATGAGAAAAATTTTAACACAAATTTTAGAATGGAAGCTTTTAAAACTGTTGAGAGTGATTGCTGAGGATTCACATGTTGTTGGACTTTAAAATGATACATTTGCTTCTGCAGGTCAGTGTTTTGAATGCAAATCGTGTGTTTAGTGGTAACTTGTCTGCTTGGTGTCTCTGTTCGTTCTGCTTGCACGAGCGAATGAAAGAAGTCCTTTCTGTGGTGCTGATTTAAAGTGACATACACATATTTGACCATGTAAAGTTAAGCCCGGGGGGCCTTTTGCCATGTTAAATGACACAGAACGCCCACAACCGTCCGTCTCCCCCACCGGATCTTTGTCACAGGAACACTGCAGACTCTGACACTGACCAGTGACAGGCGAGCAGGGACGCAAACGTCACCTCCGACTAAACATGCAAACACACAGAGACACGCGGGCCTGACAGCTCTGTCTCTGTGGTCTGTCAGAGCGTGTGCCAGCCGGCCTTTGTGTTTGAAGCTGAACGTGAGAGGCTCGGAGAGGCAGTGAGCGGCAGCTTGGAGTCGGAGTGGGCTTCAGATGGGCATCCAATTAGTGGAGCCTGAACTCTAAGTCAAATTAGAAAGTCCTGGGTGAGTGAAATCCAGCTCAGGGCGAAGACGGCTGAGGAGGTGGACTCTGTGGACATGCAGTTTTTAGACCGTCAAGAGCTGATTGCTTGAGACCGTTCCACTCCACACCCCCTCTGTTTGCTGTGAGACAGGTTTTTGTTACTGGAAGTCTAAAGACAGAGCACCTTAATAGGATGAAAAACCAGTTTTCTGAGCTGATCTCTGCACCTCTGCAGTTATCACTTGACTCTGATTTTAAGCACTGTTCACCGATTACTTAGTGCTCACTGAGACACAGTGGCATTGGGTTGGACTGACTCATGACTAGGGATGTGCGATATGGCATAAAATTCATATCACGATATGTATTGTGAAGGGTGGTGATAATGATATATATCACAATATGTTTTTGGTATAAAACTTGCAACAGGAATGAAAAAAAGCATAGGGTGTCCTTTTGCCATCATTTATTTTGAAAACTGCTATACCACAAAATAATCTCATTTAAGAAAATTCCACCTCTAGGTCCAGAAAGTTTTTAAATAATAAACAAATCAAGTATTAGGCTTCTTTCTTGTAGTGTAAAACAGTGCAAAATATATCAAATGTAGTTTTATCCATATGTTTCAAACAAAAGAATACGTTGTTAACTCTTAACAGTTTCCAGTATTCTCACTTAAGAAATGAACAGCAACAGAACAGCATTTTACACTGAAAACACATCACCCTCCAACCCTCTATTGGGCGTCTCCTTTCGCTTTAAGGAGAGCTGACACAAAATGGCGACCAGTTTCCTCTGTGGCTTTGACCAGAGGGTCTTGCACTAAAATCACACAACACAGCGTTCTTTTCACAGATCAGAGAGCAGGTTTCTCTAAAGGTGACCAATGCTTACTTTAACTTACGACAGAATAAAAGCCCAACTTTTGACGTAACACAGTGTTTTGCGCATGCGTCCAAATACGGCAACATTACGGCAAGCCGGCCGTAGTTAGCTTGTAGCTTCGCTACTTAGCTCTCCAAGACTTTACCACCACTTACGCACAGTTGTCAACCAAAAAAAGTAACGATTAAATCTGACAACTCTGATTTTACATCAGACACAGCATTGCTGCGGTTAGCCAGTAGAAGACAGAGCTCTATCGTAGGCTAAATGTCTATCGTTTCTACTGTGTACCGTATATATCGTGCATTCCTGTTCATGACTATGATTTTCTATCAGAGCAGATCAGCTATTTGAAACCACCAGTATTATCAGATGTATTCCACTTGTCAATGACAAAATGTGTTTAATGCACCAGGAAGGTGTTGTTTTTGCTGTTGTCATTTTCTCCTGCAGCTGCACAAAGAGCAGAACTATAACTTTACACGTGTGTTTGCCTAACTATTTATGGGTGTGTGTTTTGCAGCTATTCCCTCAGCGCCACGCAGCGTCATATCTAGCGTCAATGAAACCTCCCTGTCCCTGGAGTGGGAGGAGCCTGACGACACAGGTGGGCGTGGCGATCTTGTCTACAATGTGGTGTGTAAGAAGTGCCTCCGCGACAGGAGCCCGTGCACACGCTGCGACGACAACGTGGACATTGCGCCACGCAAACTGGGGCTGAGGTCGAGAAAGGTGGTGGTGAGGAACCTGCAGGCTCACACCCGCTACAGCTTTGAGGTGCAGGCCGTCAACGGCGTGTCTGGGAAAAACCCTGTCCCGCCCAACTACTCCACGGTCAACATCACCACCAACCAGGCCGGTTAGTAGTGAATCTGTCAATGACACCGTGTGTGTCCATGAGTTAATTCACAGAGCAGCTTCGATCAATACCACTTAGCATCACGGTTGGACAAACTGGTTAGTGGATCCTACTTTGAGTCAGTGTCAATGAGCATCTTAATGGGTTTTTAGTATCAACAGAGGGTCTAACATGAACAGTAAACACAGGTGAAGAAGCTCATTGATAGTGTCAAATGGGAAAATGCTCAGCTGGAGCTCGGCTTCTCCGAGAGCGTTGCAGGAAAAAAGCAGATATATTTAGCTTTCTATCGCCAACGTCAGCACTCAGGCAGATAAGCAGGCTCCTCATCATACGTCAATGACAATGTCACTCTTCAGCGTAGCCACTTAATGTATGCAGTGTCATCATCAACCAAACTGCTCAGGGCCTTTCACACACTGCAATTAATCTCCCAGTTAACCAGCACTTAATCCACCTTACTGCAGTTTATGAACCCCGTACAGTGACTATCAGCTGAGTCACTTTCAGGCTTCACAAATCAATAAGCTGCAGAAAAGAGGTGAATCGTTTACTGCTTTTGTTAAACTCACCAGGATGGAGGTAGAAAAAATAAAACGATTTTATTTCCTCAAAATAGCTGTTTAAGATATCAAGCTTTTATAAGAAACAAATCTTTTGTTTTGTTCTTATTTACTTGCCCAGTCAAGTTTTTTTATTGTCCTAATTTCTTGCCTATAAATAAAACCTGGAACAATGAAAATAACACATTTTGTTTCTACTTTTGTAAGGTTTTACTCCCAGATAAGTAGTGACCAAAAATAGCAACTCCAAGACCAGGATAAATTTGCAGTGTTTATTTGCAGGAGTGATAATCAACATTAAGCTGCAACTCAACTGGGAGGGACTGGAACCCTGGAGAGCAAGGACAAGAGTTCATATGGAGGTTTACATCCTTGAGAATGATTGAATGTCTGGTTTGTCTCTTACTGTTGGAAGCCAAGGTCATCATATGGGCAAAGGTCCAAACAGTTTCAGTATCACTGAACGAGGAATTCCCAGAGAGGTTGCATATATCAGTGGGCAAGTGGTGGAAGACAAGAAATAGCTAAAGCAATCACGAAGAGGTTTTAGGATGAATCCAGGGAGGTCCAAGACACAGGAGGAACACAGGAGTCAATGCAGTAGGCAGATAACGCATCAGCGTCGAAAGTGAAGTCATCAACTGCCATTTATACTCCTACAGCTCATTAGGAGAATGGTTCACAGGTGTGTTGTTGGCACCATGTAGTGTCAATAAGCTGTAGGAGAAAAACTAGAACTCCCACAACCTATTCGCACAGGATTCGTTTTACCTAGGGACCACATGTAATAAACAAATTACTCCCCAAACGTCTGCTTTTTATGTGGCGCATTCACACGGGATAACCAAAAGCCTGAGATTTAGCTGAAATATATGGACATCTTCCGGATGTGATCTTAAAGAGGTCAAAATAAAATCACATTAAGCTCAGATGGACAACCTGTCACCGGCCACACGCGTCCGCTGACCCACCAGTTGAATGGACTTGCAACCTGTCCAGGGTGTACCCCACCTCTCACACAGTGATGGCTGGACTTGGGCACCAGCGACCCCTGCTACCCGAAAAGGAAGAAGTGGGTAAATATAATGAATGGATGGATGGATTGATCGATCAGCTGATCACTGGCTACACGCGTCTCCACACCTGCTGTCTTCTGCGGTGAAGGAAGTAGCATCTACAAAAGCCGAAACGAGAAGCGCGTTCATTTAAAACGAACATTGTTCTATATTTTTCTAAATGATTGTGCTTAGAAAACAAAAAACATCTCATTACCTATCGGATCCCACCCATTTCTGTCCAAATCACAGAGATGCCTATTTGATTTGGATTAGTATTATCACAGGACCTCAGAGTTCAGCAAAATATAGTAGGTAATTTGCAGGGGAATTTTTACTTTACAAATGACTGACAGGGCCGATTCGCACGGGATTAACAACAGAGGCAATCTCTGTAATTATTACAGATCGCATGTGATCCCTAGGTAAAACTAATCCCATACGAATAGGGCCTAAAATATCAGGAACTTAAGAAAATTGCCTTAAAGTAGAAACCTTTATTTCTTTATACATTTCTCACATAATTTTACTGGGGGCCAGAATAAAGGACAAAATGGACATTGAGCAACCATTATAAATACTGTACTAGCTTGGACTGGATGGTGGCCTTTCTGTGTGAAATAAAGGTTTGTAGGTTCAATCATCTGTGCAGGTGTGGCTTTTCTTCAGGCTCTTTAATTTATTCCAGCAGGTTAATTGATAACTCTAAATTGTCCCTAGATGTGAGTGAGAGAGTGAATGGTTGTTTGTCTCTATGTGTCCCTGATGGACTGTCAACTTGCTGCCCAGTGTTCACTGGACATAGGCACTAGCTCTCCACGATAGTTCACAGAAAAATGGGTAAAAAACTGGATGGCTGTATGATTGTAGATTTGCTCGTTACAGGAGTTTATTTTGCAGCAATACTGAATTTCATGTATCTCAGAATTAAAACTCCATTAAAGCTCTGGTAATAACATCACATTCAACTTCACTACGTTAAGTTGCAAAACCAGTGGGGTCTGTTAATTGCTGTGCTCAATGTTAAATTGCAACAATGATCAATTTGCTACACACTTACAGCTTCCTGCTGCGTATGAAATTTAAAATATCTTTATACAGAAAGCACCTTGTTTTTATCATGAAAAATGTGCATCTAAATTAAATTCAGCAGCTGACCAGACCAATCCAAAATCATTTAGAGTAACTTAATCTTTCCTTATTAAGGCTTGATATTGTGTATAAAATGTTGATTTGATTTAAATCAACAGCATAGTTATAGAATAACGTCAGTCTGACAGATGCTTAATCTAATACAGCAAATTCAGAATATACTGTAGCTAGAATATGTCAATAAATTTATTAGATAAAATTGTATTACTTAAAAATGTAATTGTTTTATTTTTTCGCACTGACGTCTATATTAGATGGTTATGCAGGGTCCCTCTCTATCACTGAGCCCCATGTTTATTTATATACGTTGGCATTAATAATAAGCCCAGGCTTTTAAGCCCAGTTTTATTAAGTCCTCATTATTATGAGCTAATGTGCTACAGGCTTAGTGAACAAGACAACATGTTATAACTTTCCAGTAAACATAACTAAATGGTGTCTCTGATGTCCTCCTGCAGCGCCTTCAGCTGTCCCGACCGTCCACCTGATGCGCTCTTCCTCAGACACTCTCAGCTTGTCCTGGCTGCCCCCTGAGAAACCCAACGGAGTCATCCTCGACTATGAGATTAAATACCAGGAGAGGGTGAGAGCTCCACGTTACGTTTCTAATTATTCTGCATGTCGTTTTAACTCTGAGGGTGTTCTCCCAGCTTCACGCAGAGATCTAGTCACATGTGGACTGACTGATGTTTGTGGCTGCTGACTGAATGTTTTGATGTGATCTGAGTAGGACTGAGGGTGAAATAATGATTCTAACCACCACAGAGAAAAACTGGGGTGACAAGACAAGTTGTAGCTCTTTTATCATTTTTGACAGTTAAACTATTGAACTTATGATCTGTTAGTATCACATAAAATGAATAATTCAGACATTTTGAAGAGAGTTACAGTATTTGGCAAAATTGTGAATAGTTAGGATCTTACCTGTTTTACATAACTTGCTGAACAACCTCTGCTTAGAGAAATTTAAGCAGCACGACAGCTCACTGGTTAGCACTGTTGCCTCGCAGCAAGAAGGTCCTGGATTCAATCTCTGGTTGGACCTGGGGTCCTTCAGGGTGGAGTTTACATGTTCTTCTCGTGTTTGCATGGTTTTTCTCCAGGTACTCCGGTTTCCTCCCACAGACCAAAAACATGCATGTTAGGCTGCCTTCAGGCCCAGGTCTCCTTTGCAAAAGAGATCTGTGCTCTCATTGGGATTTGCCTGGTTAAATAAAGGTTAATAATAAACAGAATGTAATCCTGACAAACAGCTAATCTGAATCCAGCCAAGACAAAAGTGATTTTTTTTTATTCAGCCTTTGTTTATACAGGTTAGTCTCAAGGAGTCACGAGGACTCATTTTAAGAGAGACCTGTTTTAGACATATAGTACAGACAACAATATACAACAATAACAAGCAATTAAAATAAAAAGTATTAAAAAAAAACACGGTTATTGTTAGCATCATGGTTCTATTAGCAGTGTGGCCTGTAAGCGACGTGGTCTTGTTTGCAGCATGGTACAACAAACACTGTAGTCCTGTTAGCAGTGTGGTTGTGTTAGCAGTGTGGTCCTGTTAGCAGCGTGGTCCTGTTAGCAGCATGGTACTACTAGCATTGTGGTCCTGTTAGCAGTGTAGTTTTGTTAGTAATGTGGTTCTGTTACCAGTGTGGTCCTGTTAGCAGCGTGGTCCTGTTAGCAGCGTGGTTCTGATAGCAGTGTGGTCCTGTTAGCAATGTGGTCCTGTTAATAATATGGTTCTGTTTGCAGCATGGTCCTATTAGCAGCGTGGTCCTGTTAGCAGTGTGGTACTGTTAGCAGCGTGGTCCTGTTAGCAGTGTGGTACTGTTAGCAATGTGATATTGTTAACAGCATGGTCCTGTTAGCAATGTGGTCCTGTTAGCAGTGTGGTCCTGTTAGCAGTGTGGTACTGTTAGCAATGTGGTTCTGTAAT